AGACATATTACCATACCAAGCAATGATGCAGAACAAATAAAACAGATTCAATAAAACTTTTATAAAAAAAAAACAAAGGGTCATTATTTCAGAAGAAACGTTAAAACCCAATCTCCTTAAAAAGTAGTCTTTGTTTAACCTTTTTCACTGTAGCAGCAAGATGTGGCTCAAAGGGACAGAGTCTTATCAAGAACAACCCCCAAATACTTATAACTGTCCACCAGTTCAATGGCTGCACCATTTACCACTGTTAGTGCAGGATGGGGGGATGACTTCCTGAAGTCAATAACCATGTCCTTGGTTTTCAAGGTGTTGATCATTAAAATGACTGATCACACCAAGAAGCAAACTCATCCACAACAGGCCCATGGGAATCCTCTTCACCATGAAGGAGGCTTACCATGACTGTGTCATCGGCATCTGTAATGAGATGCCTGTTAGCCTGTGTACTGCGACATTCATTACTGTACAAAATATATAGTAAAGTGGAGAGGCAGCAACCCTGTGGTGAAGCAGTAGAAGAGTTCAGCTGTTTGGAAAAACAGCCGTTTACTCTCACACACTGAGATCTGTCAGCTAAAAAGTCTAAAATCCAGCCAACAAGATTAAAATCAACTTTAGACTGGTTAAGAAGTTCATCAGCTAAGCTATGTGTCTAAGTCCTAACTAAGTCCAGTTTTTATCATTTAAGGTGACTGGCAAGAGTAAAATCTTTTCTTTCGAGGCAGCACCTTGAAACAGTGAGCCATGCTTTTATTTCTTCCTGCCTGGACGACTGTAACTCACTTTATGTGGGGGTCAGTCAGTCATTGCTCTCATTGCTGCAGCTGGTTCAAAATGCGGCTGCACGACTCCTAACAGGAACTCGAAAAAGAGAGCATATAACCCCCGTGCTGGCCTCTGCACTGGCTATCTTTTAGAGTTAATTTTAAAATTCTTATGTTTGTTTTTAAATGCCTTCACAGTCTTGCCCCGCCTTACCTCTCTGAGCTTCTTCATCCCCACACACCCTGTCGGTCTCTCAGGTCAGCTGACCAGCTGCTCCTGGAGGTACCGAGATCCAGGAGGAAGCTCAGAGGGGACAGGGCCTTCTCTATCGTGGCTCCAAAATTATGGAATAATTTGCCCATGCACGTTAGAGAGGCCCCTTCACTGTCCACTTTTAAATCACGTCTTAAAACCCACTTTTATTCCTTGGCTTTTAACCTCAGTGAGACTTAGTTTCTCTTTTAATTGAAGTAGTTATTTAATTAATGATTCCACTCTTCTTTTATTTGTTTTTTACTTATATCTCATGTAATTTTATTTTACAGTTCCACAGCACTTTGTGTCAGCTGTGGTTATTTTAAAGTGCTTTATAAATAAAGTTGATGATGATGATGATGTGGCTGGATAGTATTAAAAGCTGAAGGAAAAACAATAAATGAGAGTTGAGCATGACGCTTTGGCACCATCAAGATGGCAATATAGGAAATTTAACAGAGTGACCACTGCATCATCAACACCCCTACAAGGCCTGTATGCAAATTGTAGTGGGCCGATAAGCTTTTCTACCTGCTGCAGGATCTCTTTCCTGATAATTTATTCAAAAGACTTCATTACTAAAGATGTTTTTTCCATAACTCGGGAAACCTTTTGTTGCTGAAGTAATAAAAGAAAGATATAAGAAGAAACACTGCAGAGTTGCTCAGCACATGTTTTAAGCACCTGGCCACATATTTGTTTTTGTTTTGTTTTTTTCTAAATCATTGTTCTGCTTGAGACGTTTTGACGATCTAGCTGTTGATTTGAGGTGAAGCTGAAGAATTTGGAGGTATAGTCCTCCTTCTTGATTTTTCCATCCAGTTTATGTAATATGCTAGTACAACTGTCAGCAAAACAGCACCATAGCATGATGCTACCACCACCATACTTGCCAGATGGTACAGTGTTTACATACCTCTGTCTACCAATATACCTCTTGTCGTTGTGGCCAGGCGGCTCAAAATTTCTTTTGTCTGACCACAAAACTTTTCTCCAGAAGGCATTTGGCTTGTCCATGTGGGCAGCTGCAAATTTCAGTCAAACTTTAAGGTGTTGCAAAAAAGTTACAGATACAAATTCTTGAAATGCTGAACTGATCATCTTGGAATTTCCAGTTGTTTACAAAATGGCTCCAAGAGACATTTCTAACCTGTGTAAATCTGCAAATCTTAATCTAAGTTCCTTGAATTTTCCCATTGTTCTGAGTGTTAGTCAGTCCAGTGATTGATGTTAATTAGTGCTGTTGTGCTGAACAATGAAGCAACCACTTGTAGTCAGTAATGATCACTAATAAGAAGTTAATACGCCTTAAAAAGTTAAAAGACTCTGCAGAACCCTCAGCATCACTGAAAGCTTTAAGTGAGTATATATTTGAGTCTGTATGTATAACTCTGTACATTAGAGAATTCCAAAATAAATTCAAAATTGTGAATTGAAACTACAACTACAACGGGGTTTTTTTTTTCCAGAAATATAAATGAATCCATAAATATTTATATATCATTCAACTGATATGTTCATTCATTTATTTTAATTATTTCTGAACATTTATTTATTTATCAATACATTTTTTTCCTGCCTCCTTTTTGGCGCAGGGCGTTTTTTGACACTCACCAACTGTTCACGTGTGGCTGATGAGTGCTTGATTGATTTGTCTGCCCCTGTTTTCGGCCAGTTGTTTTTCTGCTTGTGCAAGAGTGTCATGCTTTAGAGAGCACTGTGTTTGTATTCACAGTGTGAGTCTCCAAAATCCCTGCTGTGCCTGAAGAAGAGCCGATTGATCAAGGAGTTACTGTGGAGCACAGCTGTATGCCCACTTTGTCTCTGTCTTTTATATTTAATTTGAAAGAAATTGAATTATCATCAGTCTGCTCTCAATAAATCATAAAAAAGAGAGGACGTGTTGTTTTTAGAAATGATTGTAATAGTTTTCAGTTTGCTGCAGTCATGTGGGCCATGTTTGCTTCAGTTGTCCTACTTCTTAATTAACATACTTTAAAAAGACAAAAGCATTACTTAAATCTACAAAACAAAAAGTAAAAGCTTCCTGAGTTCTTTATGAATCTTGTGCACATTTCATTTCTACAAATGTTTCTTTAACCTGTTTCTTAACCTGGATGATAGTTAGCATACAGTGGGGCAAAAAAGTATTTAGTCAGCCACCGATTGTGCAAGTTCCCCCACTTAAAATGATGACAGAGGTCAGTAATTTGCACCAGAGGTACACTTCAACTGTGAGAGACAGAATGTGAAAGAAAAATCCATGAATTCACATGGTAGGATTTGTAAAGAATTTATTCGTAAATTAGGGTGGAAAATAAGTATTTGGTCACCTCAAACAAGGAAAATCTCTGGCTCGCACAGACCTGTAACGTCTTCTGTAAGAAGCTTTTCTGTCCCCCACTCGTTACCTGTATGAATGGCAGAGTGAATCTACAATAGGCAAGCAGCTTGGTGTGAAAAAATCAACTGTGGGAGCAATCATCAGAAAATGGAAGACATACAAGACCACTGATAATCTCCCTCGATCTGGGGCTCCACGCAAGATCTCATCCCGTGGGGTCAAAATGATCATGAGAACGGTGAGCAAAGATCCCAGAACCACACGGGGGGACCTGGTGAATGACCTGCAGAGAGCTGGGACCAAAGTAACAAAGGTCACCATCAGTAACACACTACAACGGCAGGGAATCAAATCCCGCAGTGCCAGACGTGTTCCGCTGCTGAAGCCAGTGCATGTCCAGGCCCGTCTGAAGTTTGCCAGAGAGCACATGGATGATACAGCAGAGGATTGGGAGAATGTCATGTGGTCAGATGAAACCAAAGTAGAACTTTTTGGTATAAACTCAACTCGTCGTGTTTGGAGGAAGAAGAATACTGAGTTGCATCCCAAGAACACCATACCTACTGTGAAGCATGGGGGTGGAAACATCATGCTATGGGGCTGTTTTTCTGCCAAGGGGACAGGACGACTGATCCGTGTTAAGGACAGAATGAATGGGGCTATGTATCGTGAGATTTTGAGCCAAAACCTCCTTCCATCAGTGAGAACTTTGAAGATGAAACGAGGCTGGGTCTTCCAACATGACAATGATCCAAAACACACCACCCGGGCAACAAAGGAGTGGCTCCGTAAGAAGCATTTGAAAGTCCTGGAGTGGCCTAGCCAGTCTCCAGACCTCAACCCCATAGAAAATCTGTGGCGGGAGTTGAAAGTCCGTGTTGCTCGGCGACAGCCCCAAAACATCACTGCTCTCGAGAAGATCTGCATGGAGGAATGGGCCAAAATACCAGCTACTGTGTGTGCAAACCTGGTAAAGACCTATAGTAAACGTTTGACCTCTGTTATTGCCAACAAAGGTTATGTTACAAAGTATTGAGTTGTATTTTTGTTATTGACCAAATACTTATTTTCCACCCTAATTTACAAATAAATTCTTTACAAATCCTACCATGTGGATTCATGGATTTTTTTTTCACATTCTGTCTCTCACAGTTGAAGTGTACCTCTGGTGCAAATTACTGACCTCTGTCATCATTTTAGGTGGGGGAACTTGCACAATCGGTGGCTGACTAAATACTTTTTTGCCCCACTGAAATCATCAATGATTTTTGCACCACAGCTGCTATTTCTTATTGTGTGTCATACATACAAGTTTAAAACAATGAAGGTCACTGTATATACAGGTGTTCATTGTGAGCAAAATTTCAGGTTTCAGACACTCAGGTTCAGTTTTTTTCTACTCTTGGCCTTGTATGATATCACAGGCACAAATATGGCCAAATATTTCAAACTGACAGACAGCCAGTCAAATGAATGTTAGGTCAAAGGGAGGATGACCTTAAAGAGGAAGTAGCTAAAATGGCTTGTAACGGACAGAATGAATTAAACTGAGGGGCTTGAGGAAGAAAGATGTGGTGAGCAGACTATAATTTCATCATACTTCCTCTAACTCCACCCATGTGTGACTCCACAGAGGCGACTGGTGGCACCACGACAAGGCCTCACATCTACTTCTGCCGCTCGCCAAACATGGAGGACTTCACCTGCTGGTGGCATCCACTCAGCAACCTGACAGATGGAGAGGAAGTCACCCACATCCTCACCTACTCCAAAGAGTATGAACTCCACATCTCACAGTTAACTAGGACTAAAATAAACAGTAGATAGGTGTTGACTGGTGGCCTTAGTGCATATGTTTGAGGCTGAGGGACTAAAAGGCTTTAAAAATTGTAATCAAATTGTTTCAAATTTCATCAATGCTTTACACTAACCCACATTAGTGGGGTTAGTGTAAACATATTGTGTTATAAAACCTTATAAAACATCCACCCTAACAAACAATAAGAGCCTTGTTTTAGCCTTGTGAAACTATAAAAGAAGCCCCAGATCAGCAGCACGCTGGGTCAGTTTCTGGGTCAGGTGAGTTTGTGCAGTTTGATTTCTCGTGCTTCGCGTCACCGGGAAGCTTTTAAGAAGGTCAATATTTCCAAGCTGCTCTGAAATCCTGAACGCAGACTCACGTGGCCTCAAACAGATGCCAGCTGGCCCAGATGGCAGCCACAGCAAAGAAAACGCTGCCACTAATCAGGACAAATTGGATTGTGCTTTTGACCACCACGTGGCTTCAGAGCTCCTACTGATTGTTGTTTCATCTCCTGCTGCACTTTGTATGTTTGTTTGGGAAAACAAATGTAGATCAGGGATTATCTGATAAAAAAAAAAAAGACAAAATCTTACTAAACACCAAAGCAGCTAGGAATAAAGTCACAGCTCAGAGAGGGAGATTACACTCTGCAGGCACACCTCAGTGCTGTTTGTGTTTTAATATATTAAACTGCCATTACACACTTTTTATTTACATGAAATACCCTCACTAGGACTGAATACAAACATGCTAATAAGGTAAAACATAAGCTTGTGATTATCCTCCATATAGAAAAGTTTCAAAACTTAAAGACAAGTTCCTTAATATTACAGTTAAGATCAATTTGAGGCATTAGCCTAACGTTGAACCTGATTTGGGGCTTTGATTTGGCCATTTCTTTATAATGGTTTTAACCTGGTTTTAAGCTGGTTTCAGATGTTGGGACTACTAGGTCAGGACTGGATTCAGTTTTGGTTTGGGGCTTGATCGAGAACTTTCCCCAGAATTTGTGTGTCTCTCTCTGTAATCTCCATGTGTTAACCTCAGGTCCTCAGGAGTGAGACCATCTGTTGTGGGATACCTTGTTTTTCTTTTGGCTGAAAACAGTTCTTCAGCCCTCTGGTTGGATGTTTGGCTTCATGATGGCTACAATAAGTGTAATAAATTATTGCAAACCTGCTTGGAAATTAGACAAAATTAGACTGTTAAAAAAGCCAAAAAGAAAAGAAATCCCAAGTATTGTTTAAAAAGATGTCCAGTGTTAATTTACTGATTTCCCTTTTGTTTGTTAGTGTTTATCTAAATGTGTTTTTTCTTTGATTTTGTGAAGGAAGGAAGCCAAACTGGAATGTCCAGACTATGTGACTGGCGGCCCCAACAGCTGCCACTTTGACAGCAGCCACACATCTATATGGATGGTGTACTGTTTGACCGTGACCGCCATAACCACCCACAGAAACTACACCTCCAAGCAGCACTGCCTGGACGTGGCGGAAATAGGTAAGGGGTCGGATCTGGGTTAAAAATGCTGATTCAAACTAATCATATGACTCCATTACACAGAAGTTCAGTTTTTTTGCTTCTTTTTGTTTTGATTTGGTTCGTTTGTTATTCAGCCAACAACAAAACTGTTCTGTTAAATGGAATTTGATTCCATTGGAAATGGATTTTGGTGCAGATTTCTCCTTGCGACCTCTTATTTACTGACTAACATTGAGAACAAAGTGATACAAGAAAACAGACGAAAACAGAGCGAATTTCAAGGCTTCAAAACTCATGTCTGAGTATTGATAAACCCATTTTTTAAAAAAGAAATCTTCATGCTCAGACAGCCAGCTGCGCCACCTGTGGTCAAAGCAGCAGCGAAATAAAGGGCAAAAGTGAGATGACTTTATTGTCTGCAGGCTTTAATTCATTTTACCTCCTGGAAAACTTAAAAGATTGCATAAATAAGATAATTCACAGCAAGTTCACGGGAAGGAGAACTTGTTCTAATCTCAAACTCGATATAAATCAGAAACAGAAAAACATTTGTACACAAAGAGCCAAAAGACTTTGGACTGGAAATCAGTAGGTTTTTAACTTTTCCTCACTGTCATCATAATTGAGCTGTAATTTTATGTGTATCTGGTAAAAAGCCACCAAATGTGATATTAGTACAAGCAGCTCAATATGACCTTTATTCACTATGTAAATAACGGGTTTTGTCCTTGCTCAAAATTAGCCCTAACTAAGTACAGCTATAAATTTGACCTCTTTATCATTACATCACACCATTCATTAAAAAAAATTAACACTCAAGGACAGAGGAGGATCTTTAGGCTCATCTTCAAGTTCATAAAAAGACAAAGAGAACTTGACAGTTGACAGAGCTGCCAGTTTGCCGAGAACTAGGAGTTAATAACAACTGTAATAGTCACTGTGATGGCGTGAATAATTACCCACCTACTTCATCTGGATTGGATTAATCCTGAACCTAAATAGAGGATAATAGGGGGATGTGAGGTGTGCACTATGAAGGGAGATTAAAGGAAGCGTTGTGGCTATCTGGCTGAATGAGGGAATACCTTTTACACATAAACTGTATATAACAGATGGACACAGCCACAGTGATGTCACACATTGGTTTGTATGTAAGTGTTTTGGCTATGCTTTTTTTGTAACCTAGAGGGACCATGTTTGGATGACAGGTCAGAATGCTGTGTTGTCAACATTTGGCTCTTTTGGCACTTTCCATTTGTACTTTTGCAGAACACACTGTCTGCTGGCTCCTCACAACTTACATACATTTAAATTCCTGAATCAGAAAATACATTACCAATTGGCTTGGCTCTTAACTCCATTTTTAGCTGGAATGGCAACAAATCAAGCAGATTAGAAAGCTGTTCAGTCTATTACAGAGCCTATTCAATTTGGGAAAACAAATTTTACTTTGCTTTGGTCCAAAGCTAAAGTGATTTCCTCGTCTCCTTCATTATGGCACAGTGCCATACCTGAATGCGCTTCTTCAGCTCTATTTAAATGGATCTAGTTTAACATTTAACATCTTTAATGAGCAGCTGTCAGTTTGGAAAGAAACAGAAGCATTGAGAGCAGATTGAGTGGCAAAATAAATGTTTTCACTTATGAATTCACAAGATTAATGGTTTTCTCCCAGCACTGCTCTCTTGACTTATTTTCAGAGCCTGTTGCTTTCTGCCAGAATATGTTTTAAGGCTTAATAACCTCTACTCACATCCCGTTGCCCTGTTCCATGACTCACTGTCCCGACTGACATGATTGCTGACTTCTTGGCTAAATTGGATTTATTCTGTTAATGGCAGGAAAAAGTAACACTTAAGCACAAGTCTGCAAAGCAAATGGAAATCTAGTTGTGTGAAAAAAGGGGAATGTAATTATATGTCTCCACATGAGGTAGATAAATCAGGGTTCCCATGCATTCTTAAGAAGTTTTAAAAAGTATGAAATTTGATTTCACATAAAATGTCTTTACTTCTGAAAGGCCTTTTTAGTTTTTAAAAGGTATTTATGACAGAAACAAATCATAGTACTTAATCAAATATACAGTCATGGTAAAATAAAATTTCACCCTTTTTAAATTCAAATATTTTATATTTCATCAGCAAGTGTGAGCACCTCTATAAAAGTTTTGGGAGTTTGCTAGTCAGGAACATTCAGGTGTGCAGTAACTCAATGCCAAGAAGGAAAGACATCAGCAATGGTCTTAGAGAAGCAACCTGCCTATCGCTTAGCGTTGTAAGATAATACATAACAATAATGGTAAATGGCCTGCATTTGTATAGCGCTTTTCTAGTCCCTTTCTAGTCCAAAGCGCTTCACACTACATTCAGTCATTCACACACACACATTCACACACACACACCGGCGATGGCAAGCTACATTGTAGCCATAGCTGCCCACTGACAGAGGCGAGGCTGCCGGACACTGGCACCATCGGGCCCTCTGACCACCACCAGTAGGCAAACACGGGGTCAGTATCTTGCCCAAGGATATTTGGCATGCAGCCAGGAGGCAGCCTGCCGACCTTCTGATTAGTGGCTGACCTGCTCTGCCACCTGAGCTACAGCATAGCTGTCACATCAGAATCGCCCCATTTCCTAATTTCAGAGAGTCTTCTTTATACCTACACAAATATACGAACAGTGCTAATTTGACCATTTCAAAATCTATTATTGCTTATCATGTTTACCATAATAATATAAGATAACAATAAAGTTAATAGATAAATAATAAATAGTTATTATTTATTAATAAATAAAACCAGCCTCAGAATCTCTCAGTATGCTCAGTCTGAACTGAAGTAATTTAGCTGTGGAGCATTTCAAGGTTAACCATGTGAGTGAGCTCCTGATGTAATTAGAATCTTGTTTCACTTCATATTGAGTCTATTAGCAGCCATTCATTCTTACTTAAATATAAGATTCACAAGGTCATTCCTTAATTGAGGGAAGTTTTTTAAAGGCCTCAGACCCTGCTTATATTGAGATTCTGCGTGTAATGACCAGCTGCTAATCTCATTTATTGGGGACTGAGTGTCTGTTATTATCCAGATGCTGCACATTTGGACCAGAGCAGTCCACTTCCTGAGCTGGTTTTGAGGGGTTGCAGATCGGAGGTCTGCTTGGCATCATTATCATTGAACACGTGCGTGAAGCAGCGTCATGTGACCAGCAGTGTAGTGCTCTTTTTTTTTGTGTGCCTCAGATGTCAGGGGAGGTCAGAGACGTCGCTCTTATCACAGCCATGCAGGAGATTCAGCTAACAGCTGCAGATAGGCGTTTTCACTGGAATTGAATTAAAGGTTACAGTTTCAGTGTTAGAAACGAATTATTCTCATGACTCATTACTGAAATGTTGCACACCTAAGAAGAAGCAAACACACCTTAGATGAATCAGTCAGAGGGTGAATTTCCCTCTGACAAATACCCTTTGATGTCGAATTTCAATTAGAGTTTTAATGAGAACACTCCAATACATTTTCACGACTCACTACATAGTGAGTCTGACATTTTTTAATGTTAAAATATAGAGAGTGTAGTGTTTATATTATATCCCTGTATAGTACTCTCAAAGCCTCCCAATATGCTTTGTGATAAGTAGGGTACTAATTGTTCCTACCCAAGTCTAAGAGAAAAGAGAACCCAGAATTTTGACAATTCTGATACACTAGTATTTACCATGTTCTGGATCCTTTTTTTGTTCACAGTTCAGACGGAAACACCAGTCAACCTGACCTACAACCTGACAGACGTCGGTGGTGATGAAATGGGCCACAATGCGCTGATCTCCTGGACCTACCCGGTGCCTGCCCATGTGCAGTACGGTTGGATCACGCTGGTCTATGAGCTGCAGTACAGACGTATTACCGAGCCAAACAACTGGAAGGTAAAGAGAGAAGTAATAATGAACTACAGATGAGTTTTTATACAAATGGAAGAAAAGAAAAAAAGTTCTTGGGGGAAGATCTTTACATTTACAGTTCTGGATATTTATATGGGAAAGAAAAGAAATCTTTACATCACTGAGGTGTGTTTCTGAATTAAATTGGTGATATTTGCCTTTATTTTATTTTATTTTACTTTTAAAAATAATTTAAGCGCAGACAACTGATTCAAATGTGAGATTACAGTCATTTGTTTTAATCGAGTTTTGGTTTCAGGTGAATGAGAAACTAGCTTGTGGGTGTGAGGAAAATGTTGGGTGCATCATCTACATAAAAGATAATATTTTGAATCTTGTACAGAATTTAATTAATAGACATCAGAAAAAACAAGCTCAAACAAAAGTGTGATGAGGATGGCAAACTTCAACAAAATGTCAGGAAAAAAGAGGAGAGACCCTAAATTGAGCACACAGAATCTCAAGATACAAAACAAACGAACCAAGAACTTAAAAAAAATTGCTAACAAAATCCTGTGTAAAACAATGTGGCAGAAAATGTTATACACGTTACACTGAGTTCATTACTCTTCTTTAGACAGAGTTTTACGTATAAAGTAGTTCATTATGGTCTGCATGTCACAGAACATGTTGTCTGTTTGCAGGTGAAGTATCCTCTGCGTGAGCCTCAGGTGGAGCTGCTTGGACTCCCGGTGGACGACTACGTGGTCCGAGTTCGTTGCCGTGCGCAGCACTCCAAGCTGTGGAGTGACTGGAGCGCCACGCTGGTGATGAGCATCCCCCCGAGGCAGTCTGCAGGTACATCAGCAGCCAGACGGAGTAACGGTGCTGATTTACATGCTTCTGGTTTTCACTTTCAAGTGTTTCTTATTTTTACATTTATTGTTGTTTTAATTGCAGTGAACACAGTATGTTTCTGCATTTTTAAATTATATTTTATGGGTTTCTCGTGAGATTCATTTTGAACAAATTTTATTGCAAGTACAAAAAAGTTAAGCACCTATTTTTATTGTAGATCCTAACTAAAGCTTTATAATGCAGGCATAAAATCACATTGCATTTAGTACAGGCAATGACAAGACATCAATAACTTAAAAAAAACACCATCCAGTTAAAAGCTCTCAACACAGACTCAGTAGTGCTGTGGCACAGGAGGAAGGATTCAAACATCTACAGCTTGACACTAGACATTAATCCTGCAGACACATGCTAAGCTTTTTAAGCACATTAAGCATATTTCTTTTACATGCAATGTTGTTTTAAAAAAAAACAAATTTAAAAAAACAAACAAAAAAAGACAGTTTTTCAGGCATAGAAACAGCATTTCTTTCAGTGCAGTGCCAGGATTCTGAATTTGGACAGAATGCATCAGATCTATTTGAGCTGAGGATTCACATTACAGAAGTTAATGTTTTTAATGCTACCACTTCTATTTATTACAAGCAGGTACATGTGCCTGTATCAATCAAGGAAGCAGTACCCAATCAATCACTGTTATTTTTGCTGTACATTAGAAATACTAATATAAGCCAGTTCACAAGCTGTGGGCAGTGACTGAAAGAGGCTCTCCCTCAGTGATCGGGTGAGAACTTCAGTCATTTGGGAGGGATTCAGATTAGATCTGCTACTACTCCATAGATGATGGATGGCTAGACACTGAAATCCAACTGAAATTAAATAAATCCTGTCTTATTTGAATTATTTCCATCATATAGGCTAGATCACAGTAAAAGAGAGCTGAAGAAAGAGACTGTTTGATAAGCTACATTGACTCTCATCAGTCGAGAGGCTCACTGTATTTAAATTCATTAACTTCTCTCAATAGAAACTGCCTCTGCTTTCAAAGAGAACGATACGCAGAAATGTTCAGCTCTGTGTAGTTCTACTGTGAAAAAAAGCTACTGTGTAAAATACATGTGACCCATTTATTAACAATCTCAGGGAAAATTAGTTAAGGCTAAGGCTAGTGTAAATATCTTTTAAACAGCAGGAGAGAGCCATGCTGCTTCAATAAGCATCATGCCATGTCACAAGATATGCATCCACAGCAGTATGCAATGCAAAAGAAAAAAAATTAAAGAAAGTTTCTTCATTCTCTGCTGACTCCTGCATGCTTAACATGCATCAGCTCGTGTGAAATGGCCTGTTCTGATTGGTGTGAATGATAAATTAATGAATGTTATCTTCAAAGATTGGAAAACGACAGTCTTTTTTCATTTTTTATTTTTAATTGTATTTGTTATAATCATTTAACATGAAATCGAGGAAAATCTCTCTCACAGGCAGTCCTGATGGGCTCTTTGTTAAATTGGTGGGTCCAAGCCCCTTAGGCCCACCCACAACACCACAAAAGATTTCCTCTGTTAAAAAAACATCCCTTTTCCCAATTAAATGTGTCACTGAAGGAGTAAAGCTGCAGGGGAGGAGGAGAGGGACGGTGACTCAAGGTGTGTTTTACCTGTGCAGGTAAATTGCTGGTGCTGATTCTGGTGACTGGAGTTGGCGTTGTGGCTCTGCTTGTTATCACCTTCAGTATTGTTCTACAAAGCAAGAGGTGAGAAAAAATACACATCTGTTTCTATCTTTGTCTTGCCACATATACACATGCGCCCGGACACACAAACACACACACATCATTTGATTTAGATTTTTGAGTTTAATATTGCAGGTGTAGAAGTAAGACGCTAACTGCTGCCCTGCTTCTTGTTTTTGTAGCTGTCAATAAGAATTTTCTTTACATCTGAACTGATTCATTTTTAGGAAGACCTTCAAAGTTGTAAAGAATGTTCAGCTGCAGAGAAATTGTTAAACTTAAATTGTTAAACTATCCAATTCTGACGCACAGGAAGAGCAAGCTCAGAGATAACGCTACATTTTTTAAAAAGATTAAATACATTTTATGGCTGGAACACTGACTTCGTTCAATGTGTGTGTGCTAGCTTAGTGCTGCCGTGAAGCTGCCTATTTTATGTGTGTCAATTAAAGGCAAGTACACCCTTTTTCAAGGTTTTACATATCACTACATATTAAAAATAATCTAGTCCCACCAGAGCATTTCAATCAGGTTAAAGTCTGGACTTTGACTGAGCCACAGTCAGTCTGCTGTAGATTCTCTACTGTGCTTGGGATCATTGTCCTGTTTAATGACATGGTTTGGGCCAAGCTTTAGTTGTTGGACAGATGGTCTCAAATTTGACTCTAGAATACTTGGATATACAGAGCACCTCATGGTCAACTCATTGACTTGTGGCTGCAAAACAAGCCTAACTCATGATCCGTCCACCACCATGCTGTAAGCTGGTATGAATTGTTAGTGCTGATCCACTGTGTTTGTTTTGTGCATTATGATCAGACACCTTTACTTTGGTCTCTTCTGCCCGGATGTCTTCTGGTTTGTTCAGATGCATCACTGCAAACTTAAGCTGTGTTGCAATGTTCTTTTTAGAGAGAAGTTGTTTGCTCTTGGCAACCCCTTCAAACCAGCTTGTTGATCAGTCTTTTTTGAATAATCCTTTTCACAAGAGAAATTATGGACATAGCTTGAAAATGGTCTAAAAAAATTTTCAGGTTAATGGGCCACAACAAATGCATCTCCGAGGTCATTGCCCATGTCTTTCCTCCTTGGCATTGTGTTAACATACACCTGAATGCTTCAGACCACCAAACTTCCAAAAGAGTCTACAGTGTAGACTGTGTGGTCACAAAATAGAGGGGGTGTGGCTTATGAGCTATACTACATACAGTCACCAGGAGGTGATCAGGATATTTTGGCTATTTTGGCATGTGTTTGAGCTTCTCTTCCCTATAATTTATCAAATCTGCATTGCCCCATAATACACACCAAGAGTTCCTATTTAAAGCAGAAAGTGGTTCAGAATAATATTTTCCATGGGAACTTTTCAGAGGCTCCACAGAAACACACTGTGAAAAATAAAGATTAGCTTCACTCCTCAGTGTGGACAAAATGAGCGAACGGCGATAGGTTTTGTCTCTTCTCAGGGCCACACTGTTACAGCGTGGGAGGATGAATGTGTTGTTTTTGTTTGCGTACTGACATGTTCAAACCTCCTCTCTGTCTACGTTCACCTTCAGAATAAAAGAGTACTTCCTGCCACCCATTCCAAAGCCACGGATCATCGGGATTGACCCATTGCTCCTGAAGGTAAAATGCGTGCATGCATCCCTCCTTTCAGGGTCGTGTTTTAGCCATTTGTCCTGACCTTGTACTTCTGCTCCTTTATTGCCTTCTCTCCATTTGTTGCTTTTATCTCCCCTCCCCCTCTTTTTCTTATTGTATCCTCATGTTTCTCCTTCTTTTGCTGTTTTCACTGAAAATTGCCCTCATGTTCTTTTTCTTTTTTCTATCACTTTCCTCATTTCCCATTTACATTTTGATTCTATTTTTCCTCATCTCTTTTCTTAATTTTCATTTCTCATGCTTTTGCTTTCCTGATCCTCTTCCTCTTAATTTCTTAATTTGCCTTACTATTATTTCCTTTATCATTCTTCTTCTTTTCCCATTTTCTTCTACATCTTAATTTCTCATTGGTTCATTATTTTTTTCTTTATTTATTTATTCCTCCCATCCCCACCTCCATCCTCAGAAGGGGAACTTGGACGAAATCAACCGCCACTTCAGTAACTTCCACAGCTACAGGCCTCCAAGCTACTCTGAGGAAGTCTGGGACCACGTCAGCACTGATGACATCTATCTCACCACACCGAAGCACAGCAGCGATGCACACAACCCTTCGGAATCAGAGAGGGACACCTTAATAGTTCCCTGCAACCCGGCGCCCTTAGAAGTGTCCACCCGGCATCAGCTCACAGCTCTAAACCCAAACTCGTACATGCAGAATGTGCCACCTTACTGCTCTTTACCCAATGAAGCCTTCACCCCACCTCTGAGTATTCCTTCCCCGTGGCCGATGCCAGAGATCGTATCACTGCCCCGGACGGACTACAGCATGATGGAACATCCCAGCCTTTCCAACACCATCCCCACTCCAGACCTCACTTTCAGCACCAGCCCCTCACCGCAGGACTTCTACACCTGTGTCCAGCTCTTAAATGAAAGTGGTGAGGTGCATCTAGTGCCATGCTTGCCGCCGCCATACTGCAGGGAGTTCCCACCTCTCCCAAGGGCTAATTTAGATACTGCAGAGAAGGAGGAGAAAAAGAAGACAACCAACCACCAAACTAGGAAGAATGATGGTGGCAACTCTGAGAAGAGTGAGGCGGCTGTCCCTCTGCTGCCTGTTGCTGTTGACAACAGTGGCTGAGTCACAGGAAGGAGATCCATAAACTTTGAGAAAATGCGTCTAACGCAGAGACTTTTAAAATATGCAAAGTAAAATCTCCTGTAACCTGCTGGTTTGACTGGAAAGAGATACTGTTCTGTTCCACACCATTCAAGCTTCAAAGAAGAAGAGCACCTGGTTGACTTAACAACAGGAAGTAAATCTGCAAGCTCAAAGAGCCTTTTTTTTAGCTTGCTAACATCCTGATCTAGTATTGGAAACCATTTAAAAGACTATGGACCAACAATACTGATGCAATAAAGAACATTATGTTTCGATGACCAACATTTGGGCCCTCACAGTATTGAAACTGATCATTTCAAAGACACTTGGCTAAATTTTAAGCTTCACATGCACTATGCTAGAGCTAAAATCAAAGAAATCAATGGTTAAGAGGAAAAAAATCAAGACTAAATTAATACAAGCAAGCACGTCATCCACAAAAGCTGGATTTCCTGATGAGATTAACACTGAGCTCTATTTATGGGTAATGGAGTTCATCAAACTTGAGGAAGCGTAACTGTAAATAAAATAATATAAATGTCACTTTACCACTCGCTGCTTTTCCCCAAAGCTTCTCATTCAGGGTTGTATGTCTTCTCAGGAAAAAGTGCAATCTGATGTTGAAGGGTGTTTGATTTACGGGGATTGTTTAACTTTCATCCCACTGTTTTCTCTATCAGTGTCATTAAAGCAACATCTGGTGCATATTACACATATATGTTACAAAGCTGTAAATATGGCAATCTTCATGTCCAGGATATCAACTTATTCCATTGTGTAGTACTTACATGTGCCGGCCTTGTAGGGGAATATTTGCATCACACTCTGCATCACTTCCAGAATGTGAGTCTGGCACATTTCAGTGGGTGTCCCAGACTGGGGAGGAATAAAAAAA